TGGGTCCCACTTCATTACATTGATTTGTCGTACTCCTGGTTATATGGGTCTCACTACATTACATTGATTGGTCGTACTCCTGGTTATATGGGTCTCACTACATTACCTTGATTGGTCATACTCCTAGTTATATGGGTCCCACTACATTACATTGATTGGTCTACTCCTGGTTATATTTGTCTCACTACATTACATTGCTTGGTCGTTCTCCTTGTTATATGGGTCTCACTACATTACATTGATTGGTGGTTCTCCTGTTTATATGGGTCTCACTACATTACTTTAATAGGTCGTACTCCTGGTTATATGGGTCTCACTACATTACCTTGATTGGTAATACTCCTAGTTATATGGGTCCCACTACATTACATTGATTGGGCGTACTCCTGGTTATATGGGTCTCACTGCATTACATTGATTGGTCGTACTCCTGGTTATATGGGTCCCACTTCATTACATTGATTTGTCGTACTCCTGGTTATATGGGTCTCACTACATGACATTGAGTGGTCGTACTCCTGGTTATATGGGTCTCACTACATGACATTGATTGGTCGTACTCCTGTTTATATTGGTCTCACTACATTACTTTAATAGGTCGTACTCCTGGTTATATGGGTCTCACTACATCACTACATTACCTTGATTGGTCATACTCCTGGTTATATGGGTCCCACTTCATTACCTTGATTGGTCGTACTCCTGGTTATATGGCTCCCACTACATTACATTGATTGGTCGTACTCCTGGTTATAGTCCCACTACATTACATTGATTGGTCTACTCCTGGTTATATTTGTCTCACTACATTACATCGATTGGTCGTACTCCTGGTTATATGGGTCTCACTGCATTACATTGATTGGTCGTACTCCTGGTTATATGGGTCTCGCTACATTACATTGATTGGTCGTACTCCTGGTTATATTGGTCTCACTACATTACATTGATTGGTGGTACTCCTGTTTATATGGGTCTCACTACATTAATTTTATTGGTCGTGCTCCTGGTTATATGGGTCTCACTACATTACTTTGATTGGTCGTCCTCCTGGTTATATGGGTCACACTACATTACATCGATTGGTCGTACTCCTGGTTATATGGGTCTCACTAAATGACATTGATTGGTCGTACTCCTGGTTATATGGGTCCCACTTCATTACATTGATTGGTAGTACTCCTGGTTATATGGATCTCACTACATTACATTGATTGGTCGTACTCCTGTTTGTATGGGTCTCACTACATTACTTTAATTGGTCGTACTTCTGGTTATATGGGTCTCACTTCATTACATTGATTGGTCGTACTCCTGGTTATATGGGTCCCACTTCATTACATTGATTTGTCGTACTCCTGGTTATATGGGTCTCACTACATGACATTGATTGGTCGTACTCCTGGTTATATGGGTCCCACTTCATTACATTGATTTGTCGTACTCCTGGTTATATGGGTCTCACTACATTACCTTGATTGGTCATACTCCTAGTTATATGGGTCCCACTACATTACATTGATTGGGCGTACTCCTGGTTATATGGGTCTCACTGCATTACATTGATTGGTCGTACCCCTGGTTATATGGGTCTCACTACATGACATTGAGTGGTCGTACTCCTGGTTATATGGGTCTCACTACATTACCTTGATTGGTCATACTCCTGGTTATATGGGTCCCACTTCATTACCTTGATTGGTCGTACTCCTGGTTATATGGGTCTCACTGCATTACATTGATTGGTCGTACTCCTGGTTATATGGGTCCCACTACATTACATTGATTGGTCGTACTCCAGGTTATGTGGGTCTCACTACATTACTTTAATTGGTCGTACTCCTGGTTGTATGGGTCTCACTACAGGACATTGATTGGTCGTAGTCCTGGTTATATGGGTATCACTACATTACTTTTATTGGTCGTACTCCTGTTTATATGGGTCTAACTACATTACTTTAATTGGTGGTCTCACTACATTACCCCGATAGGTCGTACTCCTGGTTGTATGGGTCTCACTACAGGACATTGATTGGTCGTGCTCCTGGTTATATGGGGCTCACTACATTACTTTTATTGGTCGTACTCCTGTTTATATTGGTCTCACTACATTACATTGATTGGTCATACTCCTAGTTATATGGGTCCGACTAGATTACATTGATTGGTTTACTCCTGGTTATATTTGTCTCACTACATTACTTTAATAGGTCGTACTCCTGGTTGAATGGGTCTCACTACAGGACATTGATTGGTCGTACTCCTGGTTATATGGGTCTCACTTCATTACATTGATTGGTCATACTCCTGTTAATATGGGTCTCACTACATTACCTTGATAGGTCATACTCCTGGTTATATGGGTCTCACTACATTACACCGATAGGTCGTACTCCTGGTTATATGGGTCTCACTACATTACCTTGATTGGTCGTATTCCTGGTTATATAGGTAATACTACATTACATCGATTGGTTGTACTCCTGGTTATATGGGTCTCACTACATTACCTTGATTGGTCGTACTCCTGGTTATATGGGTCTCACTACATTACTTTAATTGGACGTACTCCTGGTTATATGGGTCTCACTACATTACCTTGATTGGTCGTACTCCTGGTTATATGAGTCTCACTACATTACCTTGATAGGTCGTACTCCTGTTTATGTGGGTCTCACTACATTACATTGATTGGTCGTACTCCTGGTTATATGGGTCTCACAACATTACATTGATTGGTCTTACTCCTGTTTATATGGGACTAATGTGTCCAAAGCTTCAAAGGACTTCTTGTATTGAACACATAGAGAAACAAATTTTGGTTGTAGTTTTGCTGGGGTGAAAAGGTTATAAACTGTACACCCTTTACTCATATTCAGGGTCAGAGAGATCAAATTTGCTAAAAAAAAAAAAATCTTCTTTAGCCTTTCAGCATAAACTATATTTGTCAGCACTATAAAACAATGAAAGAGTGATAGAGGCATCATTGGCCTCTTGTTTGATTTATTGATATATAAATGAAAATTACTCTCATAATTTATGGATCAGAATCTAAAGACTATTTTAAATTATGGTGTGTCTCCATAGTTTATAAAGCCTTTTCATATGTTCTTCTGTGTCTGTTTAGAAGTATTTTGTGAACGATAATTAGAAAAGAAGACAGTTAAATGTTAATCATCAGGATTGAACAGAAATCCAAACAAAAATTATTAAAATGATGGTAATATCACGCCAACCTAATTTAGATAATGACATTTCACAAACAGTTAGCGCTAACTACATGCAGTGGTTTATAGGAGTTTCCTGCATCCGATTCCTTAAAACAGATAATGATAACTAAAAGAACAACAAAACATAAGACATTAATTCAACGGTTTTGTTCAACCATATTATTCCTGTGATTATGGATTTCAAATATGTATTAGTTCTACCGGAAGGTTTAAGTTAATATCGGCTGTCACATGCTACCGTGTCAGAATCCAATGATTGCAAAAATGTGGAACAGCTAAAGGTATTGTGAACAATTATGATGAAGGAGATTGATGAGGTTTTGTCACCATCCATGATCTCCTGCCATCCAAATGTTTGCATCAACATGCATCACACTTGCATTGCTGCCAGTGCTTTGGTGAAATTTGTCTTAGAAATTGATTCCGCTGCATGTAGTTTAATGGTTTTTTGTTGAGATAAGTTGAATATTGATAAATTTGATGGTTTGTACTAGTGAACAATTTTGATAAATGCACTTTTCTAAGGATGTGGCACCAGCCATTTTCCCTGTAATGTTTTCCTCCCACTAATCATGCCGTTTCTATATTACTCATGTGAGGGCTGTGTGCTACCATTAGTGTAAGGAGTCACTTTGATAGCAGGCAGATGGATTTTTTACCCTATGATTCCCTATCTGTATTTCCTTGTTCAGGCATGTATAGCTCCCTATCTGTATTTCCTTGTTCAGGCATGTATAGCTTCCTATCTGTATTTCCTTGTTCAGGCATGTATAGCTCCCTATATGTATGACCTTGTTCAGGCATGTATAGCTCCCTATATGTATGACCTTGTTTGGCCCTGTGGCTCTCCATATATATTGGTTCTTGTTTTGCTTGGTGACTCCCCTAATATGTTGGTGCTAGCCTAGACCTGTGACTCCCCATATGTTGGTGCTAGCCTAGACCTGTGACTCCCCATATGTTGGTGCTAGCCTAGACCTGTGACTCCCCATATGTTGGTGCTTGTTTTGCTTGGTGACCCCCCATATGTTGGTGCTCGCCTAGACCTGTGACTCCCCAAATGTTGGTTCTTGTTTTGCTAGGCCACTCCCAATATGTTGGTCCATGTTTTGCTTGGTGACTCCCCATATGTTGGTGCTTGCTTAGATCTGTGACTCCCTATATGTTGGTCCTTGTTTAGCCTTGTGGCTTCCTTAGGTTGGTCCTTGTTTGGTTGGTGACTCCCTATATGTTGGTCCTTGTTTAGCCTTGTGGCTTCCTTAGGTTGGTCCTTGTTTAGCCTTGTGGCTTCCTTAGGTTGGTCCTTGTTTGGTTGGTGACTCCCTATATGTTGGTCCTTGTTTAGCCTTGTGGCTTCCTTAGGTTGGTCCTTGTTTAGCCTTGTGGCTTCCTTAGGTTGGTCCTTGTTTGGTTGGTGACTCCCTATATGTTGGTCCTTGTTTAGCCTTGTGGCTTCCTTAGGTTGGTCCTTGTTTAGCCTTGTGGCTTCCTTAGGTTGGTCCTTGTTTTGTTGGTGACTCCTAATATGTTGGACCTTGTTTAGCTAAAGCCTTGTGGCTTCCTTAGGTTGGTCCTTGTTTTAGCCTTATTGCTAAGTATATGTTGGTCCCGGAATTTGTTTCATTTCAGAGTGTTTTATCAGTTTCTTTACATGCACTGATGGACATAGAAATTAACAGATATTTTGGGAAGAGTTTTACACCTTGTTCCTGAGCTGTACTGGCCACAGTACACAGAATATAAATTTATCGAGCTTTTTCTCTTTTGCAGGAAATCAGACAGCGTTGTGTTTCCAGCTTCCATACCAAAGACTCTTCCTAACCTGATAAAGTTTGTGCTGCACCACTCCACCCATGACCTGCGTCTGGACACAGCAGCAGACATCTGCTCCAACTCGTGTATTGACCACAACAGAGTGGTTGTAGCAGCAACAATAGAGACTCTTAGAATGCGGAGTCATCAGTATACAAGGCGGCTACGCAGACTCATGTCACGTCTGGCCTCCCTCAACAATACTCCATCTCCCAACCATCACTTAACTAAAATGTCCAAACATTCGCCAGAAAAATCTTCCTCTGACAGATTGGTCCAAGATCCTCCAGATGATGACCTTGTGTTACATAGAAGACACAAGGTCCATTCATCTATAGCATATGTACAGAGGCAGATACATAAAATGGAGAAACGAGTGAAAGATGCCATGCATTTACACAAATATTTATTAAGTCATAAAAAATTTACATCAGGAAAAGAACAGTTATTTAAGTATTTTTCTCCTGAAATTAAAGACACAAAGTCAAAGACAAAAAGCTAATGATGGATGTTGTTGACAAGTTTACATATATTTACACATTACCTTCATTACTTAATATATGCAAAAGCAGATTTACAAAAATGTATTCATTTTCTTTACGTTACCCAATGTGTACATTTCAAGCTTTAGGTTTTTGTCAAAAAAAATTGGTGACATTTTCCTTTGTGGGCCATTCTTTGTTTGGATGTTATCTTACAGAAAATGATTGCATCTATAGCAAACTTTACTCACGGTTATTTATTATTTTGTTGCCACCCTTTGACAATTTGATTTTATAGATGACCAATCAGTTAGCCAAACAGATGTACCTACAGGTTATCATGTTATCATAATTTCTGTATGAACATGAAAACTTCAGGGATGAGATTCAGACAAGCTTGTGGTTTTTGTCTCGCCGCCACAAGTGGAAGGGAGACATCCGGCGACGGCGGCGGCGGCGTCAACATTAGGTTTTTGTGTTTAAGTTAGTTTCTCTAAAATTATAAGTGCTACACTAACCAAACTTGGACCATAGATGCATCTTAGGTAATAACATCTCAACCCATGCATCAAATGCTGGATGCAACCTATCTTTCAACATTAAGTTTTTGCTTGTAACTTTGTTACTCTGATATGTTCATTGATGGTCAAAGCAGGGCACAGGCGAGACATATCAATCCGAATAGCTTGTATAAATCCTTCATTGCTAGTAATGTGACAACCAATGGAACAAAATGAATACTGAATTTTTTTTTTTTAGAATCTGTTTTGTTAATGTTTTACAATATCAACTTCATAATGACTTAATTTATTCCTGGTAATATATAAGGCACAGACAATAAAACCTTTGATTTAGTTACAATGATGTATTGTTAAGGCCCTCCTCAACATGTTATGACTGTGAATTGTGCCAAGATGAGTTGTCGGCTGGCAGATTTAATTGTAATGTGATCATTTAAGTGATTATTTCTCCCGTATCTCATCTAAATATTCACTCAGTCATACTCCTGGGGCTTTCTACATGTCCTCCTTATAATTTGATTTTGGAATGATTTGCCTAAATGGTTTTAAATGTATCTCGTGCTATTATAGCTTGCTTTACACGTGTGATTTGTAGCATTCCAAGATTTACACCCAGAGTGTAGCTTTTGTTTGAATGTTATATGTGTCACTCATACAAATCTGTGGATTTGTTAGTGATTTCATTTTTGAAAATCCAATGTTGTAAAACAATACCTTGTGAGCCTTTTATGAAAAAAAAGGTTAAGATGAGATATGATAAAAAAGGATAAAAATAAATCAACAATAGTGTTTTCAGTTAAAAATTCAGTAATGCATGACCAGGATTCAAACGGTGGAGCTCAGATTGTTATACTGTCACTTCAACTTACTGAGCTACCTGGTCAATGGCAGTGCCTTGTCCCAATGGCTCTACAGTTATAGGGAGCTCAGATTGTTATACTGTCACTTCAACTTACTGAGCTACCTGGTCAATGGCACTGCCTTGTCCCAAGGGCTCTACAGTTATAGGGAGCTCATATTGTTATACTGTCACTTCAACTTACTGAGCTACCTGGTCAATGGCAGTGCCTTGTCCCAATGGCTCTACAGTTATAGGGAGCTCAGATTGTTATATTGTCACTTCAACTTACTGAGCTACCTGGTCAATGGCAGTGCTTTGTCCCAATGGCTCTACAGTTATAGTCAAAACAAACTTAAGGGGAGGTAACCGTACATATAAAGAACAACAGGGGTAATGTCTAGTGGTTTGCCTGCTGTGGCACAGGGATCCTTAAGCTTGGGTAACATTGTGTCCTTAAAACCCTTACTTTGCTGTAGTCTAAACAAAAAATGCAACAACATGTTAACCTGCAACAAAACTGATCCTGGCGACGTCATAGCTTAAACTGAGAGTCACATGATCTAACAAAAAGACCTTACAGAATACCTCCATTTTTACCCTTTTTTATATGTTCAATGATGTCTTCAAAACTTTACCAGGCTGCCAAAAATGCTGCATATTGTGGATCATTGAATATTAAAATTTGATTCTTAAAGCAGAATATGTAATACTGTATAATGGTACTGGTATTACTGTAGTTATTTAAAAGTTGTAGAGAATAATCTATGGAAAGATTTTTTTGTGTGGCGGGTGTTAAATATCAATTGTTTGAGCTGTTCATTTTCTTATGGTGCTTACATTCTAAAAATCAAATCCTGAATATTTTATTGTGAATAACAATTAGGTTGTGGTCATGTTACAACAGTGTTCTGTGTACCATGGTACCGGGGTCAAATATTACTAGTCAATATGCAAATCATTTGTGCAATGATGGAAAGACAAAATTGGAGAAAAAAAACAAAAAAAACTTCTCATGTAACTTGAATTGCTTGTTTAAAAATTAACATGTACAGTTAAGTTTGTTACCCTACCTTCTGATTAAGACAGATAACATCACTAGCTTATGTGTGTTATCCAAGATTAGTCTTATCTAACAAACCTGTGTGGTTGAACAGTCTTTGTTATATTGATAAACAGATAAACTTGTTATTTCCTATAATATCTGAATTAGGTTATAACAAAAACGGTGAAGGTCATATTCAAGTTACCATATGTCAATACTGTAGCAAGTCTTACTTACATTGAGTCTTCTGATTAACCGAGTATTAGTGACAGTGTGTGAATACCTCTATACTATTTTTTGTCTATATTAATATATTCATTATGTTTAAAATTAATATTGTTTTTTTATGTGAATCTATAGACTATTTTGTCCAAGATCATGTAAATAATTTCACAGTTAATTTTAACGTCCATGTTGATTTAAATTCAGTTAAAATATTAGAAAATGCTGAAAAGATTATTCAATCATATTTTCCCGTTGGGGATAGATAAAGCTACATATTTGGAGTTACATGACTGGTTCTGTTCCCCTCCACTCTCACACCATCAGTCACATGTCCCCTCCACTCTCACACCATCAGTCACATGTCCCTCCACTTTCACACCATCAGTCACATGTCTTCCCCACTCTCACACCATCAGTCACATGTCCCTCCACTCTCACATCATCAGTCACATGTCCCCTCCACTTTCACGACATTTGTCACATGTCCCCTCCACTCTCACACCATCAGTCACATGTGCCCTCCACTTTCACGCCATCAGTCACATGTCCCCTCCACTCTCAAGCCCTCAGTAACATGTCCCCTCCATTCTCACGCCATCAGTCACATGTGCCCTCCACTCTCACACCATCGGTCACATATGCCCTCCACTCTCACGCCATCAGTCACATGTGCCCTCCACTCTCATGCCATCAGTCACATGTGCCCTCCACTCTCACGCCATCAGTCACATGTGCCCTCCACTTTCACACCATCAGTCACATGACTGGTATAGTTTTGTTGTCCCTTCTCTATATAAGCAGGCCTCTTTTGTATAATTTTTATTCTGATGTCATGGTTTTGAGGAGGAGCACTCTGCCTAATCTTGAGGGGTGTTGGTACACAAAGTATGCTTCATCCATTAACTTCATTAGTGCTTGATTGTAGGGTAGTATATTGTTAATCACTTTATTTGACTCACTATGTCTTTAGGTTTTAATTGTAAATACCAGAAATGAAAAATTAATCTATGTCAAAAAATAGTGACTCAAAACTGCTGAGAAGCTATATCCATTTGTCTAATGTGAGACTTAATACTTTTGATGTCTTTCTTTTGTAGGTTGTTGAGTGGCGTGTCATATAAAAAAATATATATATAAATTGCAATAGTTTGTCACCAAGTAGTTCAAGTTTTGTTTCTAAAATGTTTAATCATCAGTAGTGAGTTTATTTATTAAATTTATTTGGATAACTTGCAAACTAAAAATGCATTTATTCAAGAATATCAAATACAATTATGGTATATTGATCATAAATTCTGTTAAACAAGCATAAAGTTGTACATCATCATCATCTGTCATCTGTAGTAAATATATTTATGCAATACTTAAAAAAAATCTTCATTCCAATAGTCCTAATTGTTTGTTACATTTTAATGAATAGGTTGTATAAAAAGGGTGTTTTTCATTCTTAATTCCATTTTTTTTTTATTATAGGTATGATTAAACTGTTTCTGTTATAAATGCCAGGTGCCTGACGATTACAGAGATGTGTTTCTGTTGGAACACATAATTATATGTAATCTCATACTGTGTTCAGAAATCTATGGGTGTTTGATGAATCAGTAAACATAATGTAAGGATGTGGTCAGCTTGTTTATATCCAACCTGATATGATACAATAAATGTTATGAATTTCAAAATGTGGATATTTAATAAAATAAACATGTAAATCAAGAGAGAAGTATCTGAGTGTTAGTGTTTGCTGTGGGGCGACTGTGTGAGTGTTTGATGTGGGGAGACTGAGTGAATGTTTAATGTGGGGAGACTGTGTGAGTGTTTGATGTGGGGAGACTGTGTGAGTGTTTGATGTGGGGAGACTGTGTGAGTATTTGATTTGGGGAGACTGTGTGAGTGTTTGATGTGGGGAGACTGTGTGAGTGTTTGGTGTGGGGAGACTGTGTGAGTGTTTGTATTATTTATTGAGGTTATCTTTATGACAGTTGGTATTGTATATGTGTTAAAGGGTTGTGATTGAATGTGGGAAGTTTCTTTGTGCTGGTATTGTATGTGGGGAGTATCTAAGTGGTGGTATTGTATGTGGGGAGTATCTAAGTGCTGGTATTGTATGTGGGGAATATCTGAGTATTGGTATTGTATGTGGGGAGTATCTAAGTGTTGGTATTGTATGTGGGGAGTATCTGAGTGCTGGTATTATATGTTGAGAGTATCTGAGTGTTGGTATTGTATGTGGGGAATATCTGAGTATTGGTATTGTATGTGGGGAGTATCTGAGTGTTGGTTTTGTATGTCGAGAGTATCTGAGTGTTGGTTTTGTAAGTGGGGAGTATCTGAGTGTTGGTATTGTATGTTGAGAGTATCTAAGTGCGTGTAATGAATGTCAAGAATAAGTTTATTGTTTGGAATATCTGTCGATGCAGGCTTTTGTATTGTGTGTTTTATTGGGAGAACCTGCACTTAAATCTATGCACCGATTCCTTATAACCCACATATTTAAATTATGAATCGTGTTTGGTCTCAATCTGTGATATCATTACAGAAATATTTGTGTAACTTAAACTACCCCTGAGCTAATTTTGTAAAACCACACGATTCCTCTTTTGGTTATTTATATCAAACTAATAAAGTTAATCAATTTAATTTGCGATTGCTTTGGAGTCTGATTTTGTTTTTTTCGACCAGGAAGGAAGTCATAACTCCTCCTGTAACTTGGATAATTATTATGGATGCTGCTGTCTAGAGAAAGAACAAGTTGATGTTAGTGACTAGAGACAAGGGAATAGACGGTAGAGTCCAGCATTACGTGACAAGTCTACAGGAACAGGTCGTTTTAGGCGTCTAAAGACGACTGGACAAATCGAGGCATTTAGGGGGAAAATATAGGTTGATTACAGAGGGCGTTTAGAGACTACAGGACAGTTCCATATATGTGTCAAGAGACAGGCTAGGTCAATGGCAATGTCTCAATATGTGGTTGTAAGCTATGTATTGTGCCAGATAACTGGTTGTATATGCCATCCAGTGACAAGTGTCATAGGTGTGTAGAGATAAGGATCCAGATAAGTGGACAGGTCGGTGGTGGCGCATAGAAACAAAATGACCGGTTGTTGGTACATGTAACGTCAGTAAACTATTAGACAGGTTGATGGCGGAGTCCGAAGACAATAGGACAGGTCTATGGTGGAGTCGGAAGACATTTGGACTGGCCGATAGAGGCCTCCTTTAAAGACAATTGGACATGTCGATTGTGACCTCTGAAGACCGTTGGACAGGTCGATAGAGGCCTCCTCTAAAGACAATGGCAAATGTCAACGGTGAAGTCTGAAGACAAATATACAGGTCAATGGTGGCCTCTAAAACTATTGAACAGGTTTGCTGGTGGCATACGTCAAGTGACAAATCGACATGTCAATGGTGGCGGCTAAAATGAAGTAAACACGTTGATTGTGGCGTTTAGTGACAATTGGACAGGTCGATTATGGCGTTTAAACACAATTGAACATGTCGATGGTGGCGTCTAAAGACAAGTAGACACGTTGATGGTGGCATCTGAATACTAATTGGGAGGTTAGATAGTGGAGTCAAAAGACAAGAAACAAAAGGGCAGGTCGATGGTGGCGTTTAAAGACAATTGGACAGGTCGATGATGGCGTTTAAAGACAATTGGACAGGTCGTGGTTGCCGTATAAAGACAAGTGGTTAGGTAGATGATGGCATTAAAAGACAAGTGAACAGGTTGAAGGTGCCGTTAAAGACAAGTGGACATGTCGATGGTGCCGTTTAAAGACAATTGGACAGGTTGATTATGCCGTTTAAAGACAAGTGGTTAGGTCGATGGTTCCGTTTTAAGACAACTGGACAGGTCGATGGTGCCATCTAAAGACAAGTGGACAGGTCGACGATAGCCTCTGAAGACAAGTAGACACGTTGATGGTGGCCTCTGAATACGAATTGGGAAGTTAGACGGTGCCGCCTAAAGACAAGTGGACAGGTTGATGATGGCTTCTAAAGACAATAGGACAGGTCGATGGTGCCGTCTAAAGACAAGTGGACAGGTCTTCCAAGAATCCTGACTTTTACCATTTACCTGTGCAGGTTAAGAAATTGATAGTTTTGGTGTGTCTTACTGCATGATTATATGAAGTGACTTGTATTAGGCACCCTGCAAAATCGGAGTGTCCTTCGGCGGCTTCTGCTGATGTGACCTGCTGTCCCATTGTCCTCCACACTCTTTCCTTTCGGGGATGTGTTCCTAAGTACCTTTGGTAAGCCCGTTGGCAGACTAATCTGACCTGCTGGAATATAATGTAATCTTGTCTAGGAGACACGATAATCTATTTCTGTTAGATGACACTTAACACGCCCATCGGTTTCCTCTTAAACAAAATATAAATGTAACGAACGACAACTTGGTAGAGATCACGTTCCCTCACACCCATATGGGCGGCATTGCTTTAACGTCTTCCTGATTCGTTTTACTTAAACAGAACAAGTTCGTGTTTCAGGATCGTTGAGATTGTTAAGATCATTGCTACTACATATACAGAAAGTATATGCTGTCTCTCCACTTGTGTACTTGCCTTCGTTTTTCTTCTGAACTGATGGAAACTTGATGAAATTATTCGGAACACAACTACATCGAAAGAGATGGGTAAAGGGTCGTGAACCCGAAGTTGGCGGGGGAAGGAGCGCGAATGATGGAGGGATGGATGTCTCACAAATACTGTTAGATGTTCATGGACATGATCACTTTGGTTTCTTGTTTTAGGTCTGATATCGTTAATAGCATTATCTCTCTGTAAGTAACACGTTCAGAAAAATAAATATGCATTGGGTACTTATATAAACTTACATGCATGATACACAAGATGGAATTTGCATGAATACAATGTAAAGATTTTTTTATAATCAAGCGGTTTTTTTTAGAATTTATTTTTGTCAGCGGTTGTTGCTCAATGCATTGCTGGGCAACTAAAAACTATACATGATTACATATCTCTTCCTTTTATATCCAGTAGTACTAAACATCAAAAGTCCTGCTTTTATTGCGTGCCATATCGTATGAATATATTTAATGCATGGGATGGCAAGTTGTGTTATAAGTGAATTACCGTCCATGTAGTTGTTGTTCTATGTTGTTTACGGCACATGTTATTTATGTTATAGACCATTTACTGCCACTGTCAGTATCGTTAAAGGCTATTTAACGCTAGTGAAAGTAACGTTATACATTGCAGCTTATTCGTCGTCAACGTAAGTAACGTTGTAAGGTATTCATTGCCAATGTTAGTGACACAGTTTGATTGTTTCTCTGAATTTCGCTGTTCTTTTTATAATCCTTTGTACCAGTGTATGAGCTGGCTATAAGTCAGGCGGGGAGGAGAAGGGGTACTACGCGCACCTGTCTCATTGGTTTTGAAGTATAGACCTTAATTTAAATAAATCAAAAATGATGAGAGTATAAAATCATTTATTCTAGTTATTCTCAAAGGCATTTAGATTTTTCCACGTCATTTTGAAAGATCGCAATGTCTGCAGCGCTTTCTATCCATATACATCATTCTGTATTTACGAAGAGTTATTGCAAAAGTATTCTCCCCATGCAACAACCAGCGTTTTTAAGAGTCATATAAAAATCTGTAGATGTTTGTATCAGTTTTGTTGTCCTTTCGCGTCACTGGCAAATGCCAGATATTGGCTTCACTGACAACTTCCGTCGGAGTCTTGGTCTCACTGACAACAGTCGTATATATGTTTTACTGACAACTGCAGATTCTCAGTCTCAATTACAACTGTCATGTTTCGATCTCACTGACAACTACTGAGTCTTAGACTCAATAACAACTACTAAGTGTCGATCTAACGGACAACTGTCGTGTGTCGGTCTCACTGAAAACTGCCAAGTGTCGGTTTCACTGACAACTGCTGCGTATCGGTCTCACTGACAACTGTCGTGCACCAGTGTCACTGACAACGGTCGTGCACCAGTGTCACTGACAACTGCAAGATATCTGACTCAATGACAACTGCCGAATGTATATTTAATTGACAAACGCCGAGTCTCAGTATCACTGACAATTACCGGGTCTCGGTCTCAGTGACTAACACTTCCTTGCTATTGAAAAGCAGTCACACGAAATTAAGGCGTTACAATCCAATCACGAAGTAAATGAGCTGATATTCGTGTTGCCAAGCCATTCTGCAGACACCATGTTTTTAAAGACTGAAAGTTTGGCGCTCGAACAAACATAAATCTATGTTTGTATTTGCAAACTATGATATAAAGCTGTTTGTTATAGCTGTTTGTCATTGCTCACAGCTTGTCAGTGACAATATCTATCATTGCTATACATCGGAGTGTGTAGCTATGTGTTTATTGTTCGTGAAAAATATAGCTGTTTCTCACGATTTGTAGCTGTTTCTCACGATTTGTAGCTGTTTATAATAATTTGTAGCTGTTTCTCACGATTTGTAGCTGTTTATAATAATTTGTAGCTGTTTCTCACGATTTGTTGCTGTTTATAACGATTTGTAGCTGTTTATAACGATATGTAGCTGTTAATAACGATATGTAGCTGTTTATAACGATTTGTAGCTGTTTATAACGATTTGTAGTTGTTTATAACGATTTGTAGCTGTTTATAACGATATGAAGCTGTTTATAACGATTTATAGCTGTTTATAACGATATGTAGCTGTTTATAACGATATGTAGCTGTTTATAACGATTTGTAGCTGTTTATAACGATTTATAGCCGTTTATAACGATATGTAGCTGTTTATAACGATTTATAGCTGTTTATAACGATTTGTAGCTGTTTATAACGATTTGTAGCTGTTTATCAAAGGTTGTTACTGTTACATATGTAGTGGTAGTATTTAGCTGTTAATGATTGCTTGTCATCGTATCGCTTGTAACTGGTGTTTATCATAATATGTCACTGTTTTATTAAAGATCGTGACTGTATATGTATCACAAATCATATTTAATTTTACACGATTGCAACAGTTTATTATAGCGTTAAGCTGAAAGACATAACTTGTAACTGTTTGTTATAGTTTGTAAGTGGTTTTTTATAGCTTGTAGCACGGACTTAGATAACAAATCTAGTTCCGTGCTTGTAGCTACCTCAACATTCTAGTATACTGTTGGATTCAACCAATGATGCAAACACATGAACCAGGTCGAGTTATATACCTTTACACAAGTCGACAATGTCCTGTTTGTTGGAACTTTCCTGTTACCGCGTGGATGCTTAACCGGCTTCCTCTTCACAGATATGTACTCTAGATCTGTGCACGCCTCACTATAAATAATGGGTATCTGGAATCAAGGGGGACGCGACCAATACACAAGGGTCAATATGCAGTCCTAATTTCCAGAGGAATGTGCTGGAACGGTTTCACGTTAACCCTTGACAGGAAGAGTGACCCGCTGGACGCTTGACCTCTGCTGTATTAGAAACACTTCGAAGATCGATACAAGTTTACGCATGGCATTGAGACAACGTTTTACTGTGCTGTTACTGGGGCATTGGCCTTAAATGCTGTTTAACGCTTGGTCAATGATATAAATCAATATCACACTTTCGGTCACTACAACCTTACTTGGTCAGCTTCGCTGTTCAGACAAGACAGCTATAC